TGCTCACATGAGCAAAATGAGTGCAGGATGAACTCCGTCTTCTCTTTCCACCTTAATTCTATGTGATGGTCATGTATCAGATGAGGATTGACTAACAGTGCATTTCCTATTAATAAGTATTTTTTATAATATAATAAGTTACTTTAAAATTTGAAAAGGTTTATATCATTCCCTAAATGCCTTATATATTTTAATATCATGATGTATACTATGAAAAAAAAAACTTAAAGTACTCCCGACTATATTCAAATTTAGAGACTCAAGAGAGAAAAATATTTTTTTTTGATATTATATGAGGGTATACAAGAGACTTTCAAATTTTAGTTTGGTGTAATTTAAGACAAAATTTTATTTATATTTATATTTTATGGTACCCATTCTCTGAATTATTACTATTAAGCATCAAAATCTTTACCGCTTTGAGTTATATCATTGCAAATGGTTTATTTTTTTCTATATTTTATAAATTTCTATGATAAGTACGTAATCCATCGAAATACTATCATCAATACAAATGTTTTTGTCATGATGTCAATTGAATATCGCTAATAATAATAAAAAATATTAAGGGGGAAAAGAAGACATTGATCGATTATTACACTCCTTGTTGTCCCATGATCGATCATCGTCGCATTCACCCGCCATCATACGGAAAATTTGACCATTCGAGTGGTCTATTGACTGGCAACGTGGCGTCTCTTCATCCCTCAAATCACATCCGTCGCCATCGTGATCGATAACTAAGGATGTCAAGATCAAATCTGACCCGTCCACAAGGCAAAGTGCTTAACAGTATCATTGATTGCATGTGGCCTAATGGATCTTTGGGTTACCCTTTAGCCAAATGACCCTACTGTCAAATCAACTGAATGTGGATTGATGCATCGAATCGATGTGCCCAAATGCCACGTCATACCACCACACTAGTCAACACCTCTTATTTCCACGATATTTACGTTACTACCCGTGCGTACGTTCTCCCGGCGTCGCTGTCTCCCCTGCCGCTCTCATGGCGAGGAGAACCCGCGCAAGCAAGCCATTGCCTTCTGCCCACATCACGTCGCATCACCAGTGTCACGGATCCAAAGCTCCCCCCTCTCTACCCATGTGTTCTCTCTCCTCCACATGCGCTGCCTACACCGCAACCTTGGCCTACAAATTACGACCCCTTCGCCTCCTCCTCCCTCTCCTCCTCTCTCGCCTTCTTCCGCCCCCTCTTGTTTAGGCCGTCAGGTGGTGGCTCTACGGCAATGCTTTCATCGAACGATAACGTGCTCTCTTACGCCCCGCCAGTGGTGGCGGACCGGCGGTGGAAGCCCATCGTCGAGCTCGCGCCGAACTGCCCCCGCTGCCACTCCTCCAACACCAAGTTCTGCTACTACAACAACTACAGCCTCAGCCAGCCGCGCTACTTCTGCAAGGGCTGCCGGCGGTACTGGACCAAGGGCGGATCGCTCCGCAACGTGCCGGTGGGCGGCGGCTGCCGTAAGAGCCGCCGGGCCAAGTCAACGAAGCCGTCCACCGTCTCTCCGGTGGCCGGCAGCATCACAAACTCCTCACCCCCCCTCCTCCCGGGTCCGATCCGCCCCGACCTCATGCTGAACGAGATGGTGAGTGACTCATGCATGACTCGGGCGGCGACGATTGACGACTCGACCGCCCCCGCCGACGGATCCTCCATCGATCTCCAGGCCTTATACGCCAAGTACTCGAATCAGCGTCCGCAGACGGAGATAGGCCCGGCCACGGCGGAATCACAGCTCGAGGAAGGTGATCATGAGCCGGTGGGCTCAGTTGGAACGTCGAGCGAGTCGAGTTCATGCAACCAGGTGTTCTCCCAGCCGATGGAAGAAGAAGAAGAAGAAGAAGCCATAGCGTTACTGAGACAGGTGGATCCGCCATACAACATCGAACACTCTCGTCTGCCTTTGGATCTAACCGGTCCTGTAGAGTGGCCAATGCAACCTGTGACCAACTACGTATCCCTGGATTGTCCGAGTGGTTCAGGTCTGAACTATGAAGAGTTTGAATCAGTCGCAGTAGGTGGCATGCACCATCAACAGAGCCCGCTTACCGATGACTGGAGCTTACTGGACTACTCGAGTTTCGATGCCTTCTACAGATGCTGATACCCAGTCCTTGTTCTTTCGTCTTCTTCTTCAACCTCTCTCTCTCTCTCTCTCTCTCTCTCTCTCTCTCTATATATATATATATATATATATATTACAGAGATCTCCATATCTAAACTCCATAACATGTAAAGGGTATAGAGTATGTACACTGATCTCTTCAACGATATTGCAAGGTAATGGATCACTCACAGGTTTGATGATGGTGAAGTGCAACGAACTTGGTGACACGCAGCGTTGGTTCTCGATAAAACTGACATGGTGTGGACCCCCATGAGTAAATGCTCTGCATCATTCATGACTCACCATGGATTGTGACTTCCACAGCATGAAATACCCCTCTCCCTCTCTCACTCTGTCTATCTATCTCCCACAAACACAAACACAGCAGAGAGAGAAAGAGAGGTCTGGAAACAAAATTCTTGGAATCAGATCACCAATTAAGTTACATTCTTCTATTCCAGGAGTTGGAAACAAGTCATGAACCTCATGGCTTACGTAGAGAGATGTACCACGTACTGTGAGAGTCTATAACGTTGAAACTTATGGCAAGAGAAGACATGCATTCCACCTGGTGATCTGCTCCCAGTCACATAATTACTTACACAAGACAATAGCAAGGCCAGATCAGATCTGATGCATCGAACTCAAGTCGATGAGAAATCGTAATGAGTTGAATGCTATGCTCCCCATCGAGGACTTTCTTGTTCTTTGGGGTAGACAGATGAACGGCCTGGGGGGGTTTGGAATGAGCACAGCAGCACATGCTGCGTGATCGAGGGAGAGAGAGAGAGAGTGAGGGGCTCATGATCCAAGGCAAGAAAGGACGGCTAGGGAGTCAAAACGCCGAGATTGACGGCAGCATCGCGTCAAGCCATCGTTAACTCCTCCGGAGAAGGAAACAGAATGAGTACGAAGGAGGAATTAATGGCTTAGTTAAGTGTCGCCGTTGGTCCTCGAACGGGGTGAGCTCTGCTCATTCCCACGTACCCACTCGCGCGTGCACTTCACCAGATTCATCCAAGTGAAGCCACGTGTGTTGTGAAGGTGCGCGTTCTTTGGACACAATAATGGTTTCTTTTACTTGGTCAAAGCGTTACGGTCGATGACTTGGACCTGTCAATTAAGTTGACTTGAGATGCAATCTACTCATAGACGTATAAATACTGCGATATGAGGCAGCATGCTCCGGTAAATGCCTAACCACTTGTGTGATTAATGAATGATCGAACCTATCATATCTTCATCAGTTAAACATTAAAGATGTAATGTTGACATGTCCGTAGGATGTCCCCCCAATATTATATAACTGACACCTGTGATGACTCGTTAAAAACCATATGATCCTTTTTGAATGAATCATATTATAAAATAATAAATAAATAAATTTATTCACATATAATTATGAATTATGAATCCTTTTAAGTTGGTACCCAATTTTTATTAATTTTTTTTTATCGAAAGAAGAAATAGAAATTAATTTAGAAAGTAAAGAAATTAATTTAGACATATAAATCCATAAGAGATTTAAACTACTAACGATTAACTCATTATAAAAGAAACACTCTGGTGAGTTGCAAAGAGATAAAGAAACTTATCTTTCTTAAAAACATGAATCGAATACTTGTAATCCATTCTAACATAGGCATCAGATGAGCATTATCGGAAATGTACTTAGTATGCTTGTAATGTTCAGCACAATCAAAGTCAAGCAAAGATAAGATGGTGTCAATTGAAATCTGATCGGGCCAAGTGAGGGGAAAAAGGATCTCGATTCATTCCGAAACAACAGCCGACTCTACCGACCAAAAACTAACTTAACATTATCATATTATTATTATATTATACATTAGAAAATATTATCAAATGGAGCCTTGTGCCAGCTTAGTCATGATAACGATCTATTAATTATATGTTCGTATTATTTGTTATACTACGGGGTTGGGTTAGACTGTATAGCAACGATGGCGTATGTTGGGCCGGGCCGGGCCAAGCATGAACTTGGCCCATGAACAACCGGTTGGCCCCGTCTTCCACGTAACTTATCTGCCCAGGCCATGCACGACTACGGAAATAACACCAATCCTCCTCGATCACATCTGGACCGCCCATCATGTTGATGCACGTTTCTCGAGAAAGTAAATGCCCCAAGTGATGAAGTCCTTGTATCGGCTCCGTTCTCATTTACATGATGTTGACATTGATAATGATAGAATCAAATTCTGATTATTTTATAAAAAATTGGATTGATTTAGTAAAAATTAAACCAATTACCTTTGAAATTAAACTAAATTATATTCGAATTATACTCAATCATAAAACTCATGTTGGGTTTGGTTCATAGACTTTATTTTTTATCATTTATATAAAAATGTCCTCAATAAAAAATGAATATGATGGACCCATATGGTAATAAAAAGCCAATAATGAGAGTTTTTCCCAATAAAATAATTAATCAATTAAACAATTTTTTTAATTAAATAATTAATCAATTATCCCATCCTTTTTAGCCCGAGTGCCGAGACTTCGATTCTTAGAACCAATGTGATGAGGTCAAAGAGCTCACGCTCTTCATGACGATGCTCACATCTAAAGCAGAAACCAACCTGTGAAAGCACGGCATGGTCAACGTTACGACGATTCCCATGACACACAGCTAGCTATCGCCATTGGTCAACTCTCCATCACCGATCTCCCTCCTTCCAAGAAAGAAGGAAAGTATTCAAACCCTCATCGAACAGCTAACGCACAAATCTCACCTTTCTTAAACATACTCTTCATCTTGTTGGCGTTGACTTCCTCATGGAAGATCAATAAAAGGTCAAACTCATTTGTCAACTCCCAACATCATCTCCTCTTCTTTCCCTCCTCCTCATATTCTTGTTTCCGATGGAGCCGTTGGAGATCCCTTGCTACTTCCTTTGCCCCATCTCTCTCGAGATCATGAGAGACCCGGTGACCCTGCCCACCGGCATCACCTTCGACCGCGACAGCATCGAGCGGTGGATCCTGGACGCCAAGCACAGCACATGTCCGGTCACGAGGCGGCCTCTGCCGGACTGCGAGCTCACCCCCAACCACACTCTCCCCCGGTTGATTCAGGCGTGGTGCGCCCTCCACTCCCCCAGCGGTGTCGAGATGTTCCCGACTCCGAGGACCCCCGTCGGCAAGCGGCAGATCGCCGAACTACTTGAAGCCGCCATGGCGCCCCAAAGCCGACTCACCTCCCTGCGAAAGCTCAAGGCCGTCGTCTCCGAGAGCCACAGGAACAAGCGGTACGTCGAGACCACTCCTGGCGTAATCGACTTCGCAGCCTTTGTCATAGTGAACTACGCATCGAACTCAGTCGAAGACGAAGAAGAAACCAGAGCTTGTGACGAAGCACTCATTATACTTCAGACTCTTGAGATCTCCCAAGAAGGACTGCTCGATCTTTTGGCGAAGAACGCCAACATAATCGAGTCGTTGACAACGATTCTGCGACGATCGAACGGTCAATCACGAAGCTACGCGACTCTGCTTCTGAGATCTTTACTCGGAGTGTTCTCCCCGGCACGATCGATCGGCCTCCACGCAGAGCTATTCCAGGAGATGGTGAACGTGTTACGTGACCGGATCTCGCACCAGGCCACCAAGGCGGCGTTGCATGCGCTCGTCCGGCTATGCCCGTGGGGAACCAACCGAACCAAGGCCGTGGAAGCCGGCGCCGTCCATGTTCTGGTCGAGCTCCTCCTCGAAGATCCCGAGAGGAGAGTCACCGAGCTGGTGCTCGCGGCGCTGGACCGGCTCTGCGGGTGCGCGGAGGGGCGGACGGAGCTGGTCCGCCATAGGGCGGCCATCCCTGCGGTGTCCAAGAAGATCCTGCAGGTGTCGCAGCTGGCGAGCGAGAAGGCGGTGAGGATATTGCACACGTTGGCGCGGCACTCGCCGGCGGCGGAGTTGCTGGAGGAGATGCTACAGCTGGGGGTGGTCACCAAGCTCTGCCTGGTACTACGAGTTGGCTGTGGGGGGAAGACGGAGGAGAAGGCCAGGCAGATCCTAAGGTTGCATTCAAGGGTGTGGATGCACTCTCTATGTTTACATCCTCATCTCAGGCTTTCTTACCCAACTCTTTAAAGTCGTGTGCAATTGTTTATTCCTTACATAAATGTGAAATTAGTGACCAAATTGATGTGTGTGTGTGTGTGTGTGTATATATATATATATATATATATATATATCCAAGTTTAATTAAGGTGTATTTAATGAAATTAGATTGGGCCAATGACTGGTTTCACAATGGGCCGAGCTTTAGACTGCAAAGTCCTTTGGACAACCAATGTGTTTTTATGGCTCTCTCTCTTTAGCTAATGAAGTTTCGTATTTGTTCAATTGTTTGTTCCATGTGTCTTCCATGACGACGATAGTATTCTATATGTTATTTACCTTGCCAATTCTTATCGGCCCATACGAGTGCTAACACATGTTAACAGAGCATTTAACGACTTTAGTTAATATATAACAATTGATTTAGTGGTGGTTGACTCCATAAACATCCACGAAAAGCATAAAGATAATAATATAGAGAGCTTCATTGCATAGTCGAGTTGGTCAAACTATTATCATCCATCACGAAGTGCACTAATTTTGTCTAAGCCATATGGCATCCTTTATAGGTTAAACTCTCGTAAATGCAAACTATTATGGTCATCATCTCTCGCTGATACATAATGTAGAGTTTTAAAGAGAAGGATGAATGCAGATGTGTAAGAAATCTTTACATTCACTCTCATGTTCTTAACATTCTTGTATGGATTGGAATTTTGTTATCTTTTTCATGATGTTGAGAGATGGAGTGCAACTTCGGTGGTATTAGAATCCCAAGGAGGTCATCGCACATCCTTTTGCTCTCCCGCTCTCAATACTGCTTCGAGAAAGCGTTCAAGCAATCACCAAAAGCTCTCCATCACTCCCTCTCTCTTTGATCCTCTTTTTGACCACTCTTTCTCCTGTGAGATCACCGAAGGTGGAGGTGCTCAACTCAAAGGAAGAGTGAGTAACCAGTCTTTTCTCGGACAAGGGATGGAGTATAAAGGAAGATGGAACACCTTGGATCCCCAAGCAATCACCTTTGAAATCATGGCTGCAAACATCTCGACATCATGATTCCAACCATTGGGAGAAAGATGGGCTCGATGGAGCCTCGCCCTTACTTCCATGCACAAAAGACTCGCACTCCTTTTGTGGCCCTCGGCGATATGGTTTCCTTTCCTCAAAGCGCTGCAGAGGATTTTGAGGCGTGGAAACTTTGTCTCCATGCCTGTAAACCCTTTTGCAGATGCCAATGGACTCTCCTTTTGGTGTGTGTGTGTGTGTGTGTGTGGGACGGGGGTTGAGCTCCAAGGTCCGGTTAATGGTGGATGTTCTTCCTGTAGAACCACTTGCATGTCTTCGTCTCAGTATATGACACTGGTTTCAGGGCATATGTTGTTACGTGCATTCTAAGGGAAGTATAAATGATCATATAGCCTGGCAACTCAACAAAAGTTTATTCTTCTTCTTTTGAGAGAAACTCTTTGGTGATGCTTCAGTCACTCCTTATCTTCTTAGACTTCAACCTTAGGATATATACATATATATATATATATATATATATATATATATACACCTTGACTCGATAGAATTCAAGACTCATTTCATATTAATTTTGAAATTAATAATGATAATTTTGTGAGGAATAGTATATACCATCATTGGAAAGCATAATGAGCCAGAAATTCGAATTATTTTACAGAGTTTTTAGAGTGAAATTTTCTAGAGAAAAGTTATGTTCCTCTTTCACTACAAAGGTTACGATGACTACTGTTTTACTTTTGAAAGTTTATAAAATAATAATTATTTATTTTATGAGTTCTTAATTACTGTTTTGTTTATTTTTTATCTTAAAAATAATTAAGAATTAATCATTCATACTTGAAGGCTCATTCTATGTGTGAGTTCCAAAGTCATTATATTCCTAATTAGATGATGAGCTTATCTATCTTCGTTAAACTCTTTTTTCCACTCCACTTGTCATCACTATTCTGCATAGCTTAGTTCCATCTTCTCATGTCTTCCGACAGCATCAAGCCTTTGGTAGTGACAGACATAATGGATTGTTTCTAATGCTTTTCTTGTTCTCCAGCTATCAAAGCTTCACTAATTATCGCACAGTGCAGAGTTGCTGAATCCACCCAGTAGAACCGCAAATAAGAAAAGAACACAAGCTGCAACATGGATAAAGAGCTTAGTAGTCAGCAAGCAAGGCATTGGAGACAGCAGTCAAAAAGGTTGATGAGAAGAGAGAGTTAAAAGCAACACCCCACTTTGTATCTGACTTTTTACCCTCTTCCTCCTCCACCTGCTGCTGCTGCTGCTGCTTTTTACACAGTCCAAGGATCCACTGTAACATATATTGTTAAGTTCCATCCCCATATCTTCCCTCCATCTTTTGAGACTGATCTCTGGATTCTCCCAATCAATCCATTTCATGAAAGCCAACTGCAACCCCCTAAACTCCCCTACTCATTTGGTGAGCTGCCCATGCAGTGGAGATTTATGTTAACAGGATTCCAAATCACCAACTTTGAGGTCCAAAGACAAGATGCTCTCTTCGATTGCGTTAGTCTTTTCACCTTCACTAGTTTCCAAAGATGAGAATGTTGGGTCATGTACCCTAAAGTGGGGAAAAAAGTGATTCCCTTTCATCATTATGCACGAAAGTAGATTTGTGCTTTTGCCTTTCATATTAACATATCCTTTGTAAAGCTCTCCTGTTATGCATAAGGCCTGCTTTGGTACTTCTCACCTCTCTTCTCATGGCTGTCTTCCTACACCTCGTGGCCAAATGTGTGATACTAATATTGACACTCATATGCCTGTGTTTGTACTTTCTTCATTATCTTCTCTCTCTACATCATTGCTGTTTAAACAATATGATACAATATCCTATCACACTAACGTTTAGATGCATGCATTTCTGAAGCGATTACGAGTCGAAATGTAGATGTTTTACTTCTATGCGTTCAAATCAAGCTACACCATACAAAAGAGACGGATGTTTCCTCACCCACACACACGAAATGCCCACTGCATGGCATCAAATGCTTTGTGGCAGCTTCAAGAGGAATGTTCTGTCGACTATTTCGGAAAGCCTCACACCATCAGATGACCAATCCTCCGTGTCATCAGTGGCAGAAAGATTCAAATCTAGAACAAAGGATTCTGTGTGCTTCGAATCCTCTCCTTCCTCTACAAGCTCATCCAATCTTGGCTTAGCTGTAGGAGAGCATGCACTCGATCTTGAGCCATGGCTTACGCTGGTGAAGATGATGATGGCATCGCTTACACTGACCTCCTCCTCCGAGCTGCAGCTCAGAATTCTCCCTCGTCGTATCGCGTTCTTAATCCCTTCTCGTGAGTGCTCGTCTGCTTGCTCCACGTCTTCCATTAGGATAACTCTGTGAGGATTGTCTCTGACTGCTTCTCCAAACCTCTCGAAATAGCTACGGCTTGCTTCGGAATCAGATCTTGATGAGAGAGTGCACGGACCGATCGAAATGAAGTCAGTAAACGAGCCAAAAACTAGTCTGCCGACCTCCATTGCGATCTTTACTTTGCCTTCGAAGTCGCTACCTTGGAAGAACAGCCATGTCTCTTGCTTGGTCCCCTGTGATTGCAGTCTCTCCTTCCTCCTCAGCATCCCCGATCGGCATTGCAGAATAGTGCTTGCTATGTCAGAGATGATGTCCTTCTGCCATGGCACCTGCTCCTCCAATGCACTGCACAATGTCTTTAGATTCTCAGCATTCAGCTCCTTGAACCTCGAGGTATATTCCACTTCCATGGAATCAATGGTAGGGTAGTGTTTGCCACTAGTGGATGGCAGCAGTTGCTCCTCATCATCTTTATGGGCGTTTCCAGGTAACCAAAAGTGGAATTCTGAGGAGGAGTCCTTGTTGTTCCCTGTGACTGGCCAATCTTGAGGAGTATGGTGCAAGGAAGAAGACGGAGAACTCCATGACAAGAACTGTGCTTTCCTGGGGTGGTGACAATGGAGCTTCTGCACTGAGTTGCACATGGTGTTCCACTTCTTGGATAGGCCATAAAGCTGGAGAGAGTCCTGCAGAAACAAAGCTATGGTCATGTTTTCTATCGGATGCCATCAACAGTGAATGCAAGATAGGAATGCATACCGGGCTATCACTTGATGTGCTTCCTCTCTCTTCAAACCGTCGAAGCCATGAAGGCAGACTTGAGGCCATCGTACCATGTCCACCGCTGACAAGGTCTTTTGGTCCTTGAAATGTGCTGCAGCAATCAGCACAATTACCAGCATTCTTTTTCCTGCTTCGATCTTCTTCTAATTGCCAACAAGGTCCCACTCCAAGTTCCTTGCTCCTCGATTGCCTTTCGACGCCACTGAAAGATCAAATGGTGACCTCTTTGAGAGATCAAAACCAACTACAAAGTGCTTGCATTTTCTCCATGATTAAGCTTATCTAATTTGCAGATCTGATAAGCCAACAATAAATCAAATAACAACGCAAACATAGATATCGTTCCATCACAGTTTTACCTGTCGAAGCTGAGGCTTAACTCCAAGCTTCCACCACCAGGAACAAACAAAGGCTGGACATCCCAGAGAGTTCCCAAAGAAGGAAGCCCGGAGATGCAAGTCATGTAAGTCTGGTATGTGGCAATCCCCAAAAGCCATGTTCTCCCACCACCACAATCCCCCTCGACGCCATTGGAGGCCAACCTGCCAAGCTCCATGATCGCATGCTCCAAGGGGCAGTACGGGTTTCCTTCCTTCTCCCCACGACTAATCTTAAAGTCGGTTGTGCACTTCAAATCTCCCAAGTAAAGAACAGTGCTTCTTCCCTTCACGAGGCGCCTCAGTTCTCTAATTCTCTCCTCGACCTCTTCCCTTGATAACTGCCCATAGGAAGTCAGCGAGAGGTTTCTGAAGTGGAGAGCCCTCAAAGCCTCAGGCACGTCCCCGTTCTCAACTCTTTCCATTATCCTTCTGACGACAGACTCACAGGTGGCCTTGCACTCCCCTACGATCACAACACTCTTCTTCCTCCCTCTCACCAAGGACTCCATGACACTGTCGACTTCCTCGTTCCTCACTTCATCGGAAGACCTTGATTTCTTTGCTAATGGTGAGAGAGCGTAGTCGTTGCCGGGGGGTTTGTAAGGCCCAGAACTTGGGACACTATTCTCTACAGATATAGCTTGCTCCACGTTGCTCTTCACTTGGGTACTTGAGAAGCCAGCCTCCCTCATGACTCTGCTGACGCTGGGGTCGTCTAAGATGGAGATGATGAGCTGCTGCAGCTCTATCTTGACGACGAGCAGCGGCTGTTGCTGGATCTCGACGGATCCCCGGCGCTGGTGGGCCTGAGCTCTCTTAAAAGCAGCCACCAGGGCATTGGACAGGGCAGGGTGGTGGTGGTGGTGGTGTGGGTAGGAGCTTAGAATCGAGCCTGAGGAGGAGGAGGTGGGGAGACGGTTGAGCGCGACGTTGAAGCAGAGCTCGAGGGCTTTGCAGCGGAGAGGATGGGAGTGGGACTGGAGGCAGGCCACTCGCAGGAGGCCGGTGGAGGAAGAGAGCATGATGTTAGCCACATGCAGCGGCGTCACCTGCGCATGCCCTCGCTGCTGCGCCAGGCTTACTGCTTGCATCACCACTGTTGCTGCTTCTGGTGTCAGTGCTTGTTGCACTGTACAACCTCCTCTCATCTTCTAATACCTTCTTCTTCTTCTTCTTGAGAACTCTAAGGAGGAAGGAAAGGGAAGAGATGTGATACTTGATGGATTTTGGAGCGAAAGGGAGTAAGGAGCATTGGGTAGATCTCCTTTTGTAGGTAGGCTGAGTCCATGTGGCTGAGAGTGTAGATCAGCTGTAGAGAGCTGCATGGCTGTTGCTACCTGCTTTGCGCTCGCTTCTTTTCTCTCTCTCTCTCTCTCTCTCTCTTTTGTTTTAGGAGATTTGAGTTGCTTGCTTTTTGGTTGGAGCAACGTGAGAATTTATCATGAGGTAGTGTACAACTATTCTTTTCTTGCAAGGGAGGCTAAATCAAGTCCCAACCTTGATCCTGTGGTGGAAAGTGGAACAGATGTACTAAACAAGCAGCATCAAGGACTTCTATCTCTCTCTCTCTCTCTCTCTCTGCAACAATGTTCCGTGCTACCCTAAATATATGATCCAAGTATTAGCAAGTGTATATAGTTGAGTCATGCTAATGTACAACTCAAAAGGGCCACAAAGTTTCATCAGAACACCGAGGATGAAAGCTTCTAAAAGATGTGATACAACAAAGGAACCGAGTAGAGTATGTGAGCATCATCAAACACCGGATTAGGCCTCTCAAGTACCACATATATATATATATATATATATATATATATATATATATATATATATATATATATATATAGGGCCTAATAACCTCAGCACACATTTCTTGCAAAAGCTGGTGGGTCTAATCTGAGGCACTGTTCAAGATTGATTCATTCTTCTGAAGCTATAAAAGACTGAAGGAATAAAGTGTGTCACACACTGTCATATGACATCTTTCTTCCTTCCATCTCTTGACTGGATGCAATTGTGTTTTTATAAAGGTTGATGCTTTTGAACACCCATTACAATAAGTCACAAAGTGATGGCTCAATTTGAGTTATCTTCCTAGGTAGTTGGGTAGCACAGTCATGCACAAAGATTAATGAGATTGAGACCCTCACTCTCTTCTTTTGATAGCAACCTCATTGTGATGGAGTATTTAATGTGATTCATTCACAACAAATGCTTATCACAACAGTGGCAAATCACTAGAGATACTGTCAGTTCCCAGATTTGGTTCACAGGCACAATTGAATCCTGCTCCTGCTTCCTATGGAGAACCATATTAGTAACACCCCTGAGATCAAGGCACAATTGAATCGACAGGGAAAGGGTGCACCACTAATATCATTGATTTTTTTTTTCCTAAAAAGAAAAAAAATTATTTACTCAATTCATTACAAGTATAGAAAAGAGGATAGAAGCTTACATAAGTCAGAATGGAAGTTTTCTTTCCATAGAAAGGTGGACTTTGAAGTCTTAGCAAAAAAACCTATTTACTTTCCTATAAGTATGGCTAAAAATGAATTTACCAAAGAGATAAGTGTAAGATCTTTGTATGTCTCTAATGCAATTAATCATCTACTTGGATATGAGTAAATCCAGCATGCTTTCTGATCCTTTATCAGCAGAAATAGCAGTTTATGATAGAGCTTGGACATTAATACCATGAATGAGGATGGTGAATTAAAAAGCCACTTTGATGCTGGCAATGATATTTATATCTTTATCAGCATCAAAGTTATTCTTTTAAATTGTTGTTCTGCATTTTATTTCCAACAATGGTAGCTTTATTCTTTCTTCTCCTACAAAAAGTACTCAAAGAATGAAAGTAACAGTTATGAACAAACTTAAAAGCAATAAATCTCCTTTCTCCCATTTCTATCAATCATTAGATTGAAGGAACCTTTTTTGGTTGCTTGTCATTGAAATTTCTGCATCTATGCATCTACAGCAAATAAGCTAAGAAAGAAAGAAGACAGCAAGATGCAGATGCCCTAATCAGGAAAAGGATGTGTATTGTACTGCAGATTACCAGAAATCCACAAGAACAATAATAACTTTATAGCCAGCCTAAGGATGAAGGATTGTAATTATGGTTAGATCTGAGACATGTTATATATCTTTGAGAGTACCTTTTTTTTTTTTTTTCAAAGAATTTAAGTCGAGATTCAGGTTAAATCTTTTTGTCAAAGTCTTTACTAGTTAAATTAATTAACATCTTTCTCCAAAGGCATTTCACAAACACATGGTAACAATAAGAAATCGATCATATACCAAATTACAAAAAGCTCAATATATCTAATAAAATTACCTAGTTTTCATAATTTTTTTTATGGATGAAAGGTAAATCTTCTCGTGCTTAGCATGCTCGAATCACGAAAAGGAGGGTATTCTAAATAGTATGCCCGAGTTGCAAAACTTATGCTAGGTTGTATCCAATCTTCTAACACTTAAGTTTTGTGAAGATTAGAATATATAATTATTTAGTAAAAAGAATTAAAGAGCACTATTCATTTATAAGAAAATATATTTGGATCATGATGCTGAGTAATTATCAATGTAGTACTGATATGATATAGATATGAAAGTCGACTTACTATTGATGCAAGTGTTGAGTACAAGAGGTGTGTGAATTTATGTATATCGTTATTGGTAAAATAATAATTTATGCTAGTATGAAAAAGATTGAAGTAATGGATGACAATATGGATAGTTCATTCATAGATTTTATATAGTTATCTCCTACCATTATAATCATTATTACACATGCAGAATAAAGTGATGCTTCTAAGTTCTCCGTGAAGATAGGAGTGGCACAAAAAAAGTGAGCATGGGTTCGATGAGAAACCAACATGAATAAGAACACAAAAGATAAAAGGGGTAGGATTTGAAGGTGTAGGAAGAATCACGAAACATCAAAAAAAGGAACAACAAATGGGATGATGGCTTTTGAAACTTTAACTGGATCGAGATGAAGGAGACTCCTTGTTTGAGGCCTTGCACAACAAATGGGATGCTTCCTGTTATTGTGGACTGGACTAGAGTTTTGCAAAATAATACTAGGGCTATAAATAATACTATATTATTTTATTAGTATTATGAAAGAATCGTTTCTTAAAAAAAAAAATTCATTTCTAAGATTGAGTTGTCAAAACTTGATCATGATTATTCTGATTCAAAATCGTTGATTCTTTATTAAATTTTAAATAAAAAAATTAAAATAATTTTTTTTATAATTTTATTTCTATGCTTTGAAAAATTAATGTATAATGAGTCTTAAAAAAATATAAAAAAAATTAATATAAAATTATAGAATTATAAATCAAATAAGTTTTGAATGCTATATCAAATACGTATTTGTTATCTTCGGGGATAGTCTCTTATTTTCATTTTTCCATCTTATTTCAATCATCAATACGTGCTTAAACTTTCAACTGATCAAGATATGTCCCCTCCCCCCACACTAAAAGCGTTAACAAAGTTGATAATATTTATCTTACAATCATTGCTAAGATAAAAAAATAAATATTATTATTATTATTATTAATATATATATATATATATATATATATATAT